TGAATGACGTCAGCAGGTGGCGCTCTTCCCGATGCGCTCACTGCTGCTCCGTCTGCAGCCAGACTTATTGTTCCAATAACTTCTGTGTCCCTCCAGGTAAAACAAAGCTTTTATTGAACGTGTGTGTGTCTCAGTGATTGGCTCTGACACACACACACACACACACACACACACCGTGCCAGCTGCCCCGGCTCGCTCTCTGGCGGTACAAAGCGTTTAATCACTGAATGGAAACCATCAGTAACATGTTTAAATATTTTACAGAGTGTCTGACCACCCAAAGAACGCAGCGCTCAGAAACACGAGACCGACCTTTGTGTGTGTGTGTCTGTGTGTGTGTCTGTTTGTGTGTGTGTGTGTCTGTGTGTGTGTGTGTGTGTGTGTGTGTGTGTGTGTGTGTCTGTGTGTGTCTGTGTGTGTGTGTCTGTGTGTGTGTGTGTGTGTGTGTGTGTGTGTGTGTGTGTGTCTGTGTGTCTGTGTGTGTGTGTGTGTGTGTGTGTGTGTGTGTGTGTGAGGAGCACCTGACACCAGCTGCAGGACGTTTCTCCTCATTCTTGCTCCTCGTTTCCTTCTGGTTTCTGGTTTGGATTCCTCGGATTTTCTCCAGTTGTTTCGGTTTCGTTTCTCACTTGCACTCCATTTGTTTACTGAATTTTATCCATTTGATTGTGTGTTATTATGTTTGACGGAGCGTTGAGGCCGAGCTAGAATGATTGTTTTTAAAAGATACACAGAAATAATCACGACAATAAAATCAACGTAATGAAAACATAATGCCGAATTGAGAGAATTGAGTTGTAATTTAATGAGAATAAAATTCAGATATTACAAGTATAAAGTGTAAAAATATGAGAATATTGCCATTTTATGAGAACTACACAAAAAAATAATTACAAAGCATTTTGTCATCATTTGACTTTTTTCTCTTAATTTTGCGTCTTTATTCTGAGGATGTTATGACTTTCTAATTTTCAGTCAGTCGACCATCAGCCGTTGAGTCTGAGACATGAATCCAGAAATCTGTACATTTTTGTCCCGGTCCAGGATATTTAAATCCATCTCGGCGTTCCTCAGGGCTCGGTTTCAGGTCAACAGTGATGTCATCAGGAAACATGGAGTAAATATGCTCCATTATGCAGACGACACACAGATTGCACACAGAAGATGTTTCCACTTTGCTTGGTGCAACAGGAAGTCCAGGTGTTCTGGTCCAGACACGCAGCAGCTCAGGCTGGTTGCTAACGCTAACCGCGCGGCTAGTCGCAGCTCAGGGATGGTTCTCTGTTAGCGAGTCGAGGACGGACCGTCATTCAGCCGTGTGGAAGTGAGGAGTGAGCGTCGGCGCTCCTGGAGCCCTCAGGACCGCGCTGCCGCCCACACTCTGCTCACACAGCGCCTTTGTTCTGGCCGTGCCCACGCAGCGCTCATGCCTCCAGGCTCAGGGCATTTATGAGGGTACTTGTATTTACCTGCAAGCGCCTCCGTTCTGCTGAATCTCACGTTGCCGCTTTGCATCGACTGATTTATGCAACAACATTGGACTTCCTGCAGGATGGAGCTTAACTCAACTATTCTTTATTTATACAGCAGAGATCCATGTTGCATAGAAACATAAATTACTGTTATAATTATTCACCTTATGTGTCACTTGCAGCGCTATATTTATTGGAATCTAAAAATAATCATGTTGTTATTTTCAAACTTCTGTAAGCATTTACTACAATTATGTGCTAATAGCAAAGCTAACTTTTCAGCCATGTTGGGTTTCAACATGGCTGAATATAGCATTAGCTTCTGCTAACAACCATGCTGGCAGAACATTTTAGCAGAACATTTTATTGGTTTAGCAGTTTAGCGTTAGCAGAACTGATGACCTAATGTTTATGGTTGTGCTTTAGCATTAGCACAGCTAACTGATCTGACTGGTAATACAATGTATTTGTTGACTGTTGATGCTCATTTTTGCAAACTTAAAGATAAATCTCATCAGATGTTTTCACTGAGGCTTTTTGTTTCATTGATATGCATCATAAACTTCCTGTAGTTTCTAAAAACTCTAGATAAGATGGAAACTGAAGAGAAATGTTGGGTTTTTATGTGAACAGAATACATGTGGGTCAGTTGTGTGTGTTGGGGAACTTCCTGATTGGATAAGATACCTGAAGACACCAGAGTTCAAAGGTCAAATCAATTGTCCTGCAGATGGACAGAAAACAGTAGAATAAATCTGTTTCTGTTTCCCTCCGTTAAATAACGGCTTATTTAAAACTGCGGTGAGTATTTTTATCTGAGAGTGAGAGTTCTGCATTGACCTGCCTACAACTGTAGCGTCTCCTGCTGCCCTCTGCCAGCCTACACACACACACACACACACACACACACACACACACACACACACACACACACACACACACACACACACACACACACACACACACACCGCCCACGCCTGGCCACAAACATGCATGCAAACACGCAGCCGGCGGCCGGGTCTCTTCCTACGCCAGGAACCGGGCCAGGCCCAACGTAAGAACGCTTTATGTAAGCCGTTCACTGACTGCACTCTCCTACTCGCTGTGCAGGACGGGCCATTCACAAGTTTCATTATGAAAACAATGAGACATGATTCAGTTCCTCCTAAAGATATTCTATAGAAAGAAAATATCTTATTCTATTTCTCGCCTGCATTCAGTAAACAAATGGAGACCGATTGGCTGAAAACGTCCGATCTACCCTGAATCAATATTTATGGATCAGCAGTGGAGGTTGCATAACGGCCAACATTTACAAGACTGGGTAGGGAGACGCCTCTGTCACAATAATCAATAAGTCAATCAATTACATGATAAATTCAATCATTTGCATGATTTACTGTTCTTCTCTTCTGAATGATAAAAGTTTTCATCCTGCTGCTTTTGTTTCCAGACGTCATTAATTTTATTTGTTTTCTTTTGAATATTTTACATTATAAATGTTCATCAGAACATGTAGATATTTTAAAATGTTTTATTCCATTATATTCATTATATTGCTGGAAAATGGTCTTAAAGCAACAGTACCATCGTTTATCGCGATAAACAGATGAATCAGTTATTATCACAGGTGTGTTCATGATTCAAATCAATTTTTAATTTAAAGCCATTATTTATCGTGCGGCAGATTCTCCTGATCTACTGAATCATTTTGTTTTACTCGGTTTGTTTTTGAGGGGAGCCTCCAACCTGAGCGACGGCGTCAACAGTTCTTCAGTTAATCAGTGAAGAAATGATGCAGCGATTCTCTTCTTGTCGGCGGCGGAGCAGAAATCAGATTTGATGAATCACTGCGCCGCGTTTTTACCGCTTGCCTGACGTTCTCAGTTTGCATTTGGTGAACTTTGAACCCGGTAAAGTTAAAGTTCAGATCATTTTCTCAGGAATCAGTAAAAACTAAAGGAGCATAAAAGGTTTCATTTGAATGAAGATGGACCCGGTTGCCTTTCGGTACCGACTGCTTGATGACGTCAGAGAGCTTGTTTTATTTTTCTATTAGGATATTTTATAGTAATTCTGATTCTCTTGTCAACCGAACTGATTGATCTCCTCTGGATTTGGGTTCAGCACCAGAATCTGTTCCTCAGAAGACAGATTTGGTCTAGTCCAATCCTGGCTGCGACTCAATCGGATCTATCGAACAATCTCTCGATGTCTTTGGAAACTTGCATCGGTTTTTTTCCCATCTGAAGGTTTCATGCTGCTCTGCGTTCAGGCGTGTTGGAAAAGCTGGATGACAGAAGCTTCTGGATCAGACATTACTAATCGATAACGACGTCAAAAGATTTCAGGATTTATTGACTCACATTTCTGTTCTGAAAACTGAAGATAAAAAATATTTTTTAACTGTTCATGAGTTCATAAACAGTTCATCTCGTCTGACGTCACTAACATCAGCCTGAATGGACCTCTGGTTCTGGTTCTGGTTCTGGTTCTGGTTCTCTGGTTCTGGTTCTGGTTCTGGTTCTGGTTCTCTGGTTCTGGTTCTGGTTCTGGTTCAGCGGTTATCTTGGTTTATTTCATCAACAGTTTGTTTTGTAGGTTCAACATTCCTTCACCGTTAACAGCATGGAAAACATAAAAACATGATCCAAGCCTGAGACAGTGTGTGTGTGTGTGTGTGTGTGTGTGTGTGTGTGTGTGTGTGTGTGTGTGTGTGTGTGTGTGTGTGTGTGTGGTACATCTGAAAAGTGCAAGGCTGCCCAAATTTAACGTTCCTGCTGCTAAGAATAAAGTATGTTTTCTCAGGTGCTATTTATAGATCTCTTTTTGGGCCCCAAGATACACACACACACGTCACCAAGTCCTCCTTACGAGCAGTGTGTGTGTGTGTGTGTGTGTGTGTGTGTGTGTGTGTGTGTGTGTGTGTGTGTGTTGCAATAAGAGGGAGGCTGTTCAAACCCTCCGATGAGGAAATGCAAAGCAAAACTGCAGCTTCAGCAGGGATGTTTATGTGCGCTGTGCAGTTTGTTCTTTCTATGCTGTCAGGTGTTGGTGTGGTTAAGAAACGTTAAACAGCGGAAACACACACACACAGTGGGCTGCAGCAAAGCCTGCAGGCTGTCTCTGTGTTTGCGTTCGGCTCTGAGGAAGGAAAAGGTGCTAGCGCTGATGGCTGATCTTCGGCTCGGCCTTTCGGACGCCTACACGCATTATGACACTTGAACGTCACTTCCACAACACTATTTATAAGCTTTTGTGTCTTTTTAGGAACAGCGTGGGTTTGCTTTTCACCGGTGACTCACCGAGTGAAAGGAGGGGGGACGGTGGGGGAAAAGCAAAAACAACAGATGGATTCCAGTGTTAGGAACCAGCAGAGCAATCAGGAACTGTTGTTTCTGTACATCAGGCATCCAGTTCACACTGACTGTCCTCTGAGCAAACGATGCCACAGTCATAAACCTGCTGCTCTTTGGTTATTGAGTTCTGATGATCGATTGAAACTAATGAGATTTTTTCTGTCTCCAGGTTTTCACTGACAAAATCGAAAACCTTTTGAAGACACAAAGAAGTTCAGCAGCAAGAAAATCTGGTATTTATTCCAAATATTTACACTGTAAACATTATTTATTACAACTCTGTCATCTGTTAACTAAACTCATTACAGAAAAAATCAGTATAAACACACAAATGTACATCTGAAAAAAATAAAAACGCAGAATTGCACCAATCACTGAACACAGGAGCAGGTTTTGATTTATTTCTATGAAAAAGTATTTGCACCCCTACAGATTTGTGTTTGTTGGCTTTTTTCCAGTTTTTCTACTAATGGCTCATTTTAGCAAAGTATTTAGTGTTTTTGCTAACTTTGAAAAAGTTTCAGACTTATAAAAGAAAAACGGAGTCAAAAAGAAAAATGTCACAAATAGTAAAAATGACAGGAAGCATATAACAGAATCCTCCAGACCACCAGGGGGAGTCTGGAGCAATTAATATTACCTTGGTAAATATAATGCTGTTATATAATACACATCAACATGACATGCTTTCTCTTTCTTGCTCCTGCTTCCTTCTGTCCTTCCTGAGGCTCTGGTCCTGTATGATTTGCTGGTTGACTCCCCTAATGGTCTGGAGGATTTCCATTTTTTGAAGCGAGTTGTCTGCACTTGCAGCATTTTTCACTTGCAGTTATTTCCTGTTGCATTTGGTTTTATGTGTTTGTGTGTTGCACATGTCGCCCTTTGATGCTCTTGGTCTCCAGAAAACTTGATGAATAATATTAAGACCAAATTTTTTGTCTGGCCAAACAAGAAGAAGAAAGATTCTTGGAGAATGTTTTTGAAATATTGTTTATTCATCATTTTTTCCATTTTCAAACTGTTTTTTCTCTTTGCTGTGTTTGACGTAGCAGCTAGTCATAACTTCAAACATTTCTGTTCTTAATTGCTGTTTTTCTTTTGTCTGCAGATCACTGAAGGATTCTGTTGTGATTGGGAATGAAGAGCAATGCACAACCAAGTTGAGAATACAGCATGTGAAAAGACAGTGTGCATCTCACCCTTTAATCACCCCCAGACTCTCCAATCGACCTTGTTCAGAGATGGATTCTCCGTTTCCGTTTAGACGTGTTAGCAACCCTCTAAGGTTCAGTTAACATGCTCGGTTGCTCTGGGACCTTTTAAACCCTTCAGTACCTTCCCTCTGAACCACCCCTCCTTTCCTCTCTCACTAAACTGAAGAGGAGATTCAAAGAAATGGAGGCCCGTGAAGTAGCTGCCCATGGGCAAAAATGCTTAACCAAGGAAATCGTGAAGGAGAAAGCACCTCTGGAGAGAAAATGGGCATCTGAGCCTTCTGCAAACACAAAACAGAGCACTTTTTCTGATCCAGAACTGAAACATCGAGAGAGTTTGCCCTGTGGCGCAACCGGAGGATCAGCGCCCCATCAAAAGTATGGGATACCAGGCAATTCTGCAAAGCTGCTATCTGGATCTTCTGCAGTTGGCGCAATTGGGGGTCCGCCATCCCAAGACCCCAAGGACCTTTTGCACAAGGTTTTCAAAGGGGGTACTTCCATTTGGGCCAGCCGTACCCTCAGCATCCCCAATCTGAACGCTTCGTTTCTGGAGCTAAACCACAGCCTGGTCTGGAGCCGCACGCCTGGCCATTTGTTGGTCAGTTGCCCTCAGATGACTTATATCCTGTAGGACATCCAGGCCATACTCACCCACACGGGGCGGGGAGGTTTCCCAGGCAAAAAATCTCCTAGTTTACCAAGCTCGTTTGGACAGTACTCCACTCCGGCTCTGAGCCTGGGGAGGAGGGCTACGGCAAAAAAGAGCAAAAGCCAAAAAAGCCTGGGAAGTACCTCTGTCCCTACTGTAATCGAGCATGCGCCAAGCCCAGTGTACTGAAGAAGCACATCCGCTCGCATACCGGAGAGCGGCCATATCCATGCATACCCTGCGGCTTTTCCTTTAAAACCAAAAGCAACCTTTACAAGCACCGCAAGTCCCACGCTCACGCCATTAAAGCTGGACTGGTGCCGTTTTCATCCGAGCCGTCAGTGGCCCCCAGTGGAGACACGGATCAGGCATCCACACCTGGTGAGGCAGAGGTCCCTCAGAGGGAGAGCAGAGTACAGACACAGATGAGGAGGGTGTTGAGACCTCCATCATGTTGATGGATAAAGACAGTCCCATCCCACAAATCTCCTTTGAAGCAGACAAGAATGGAGGTAAATTCTCTACAACAAACACAACTCTCAAATTAAAAGGAATCAAACTAATTTGGTTCAAAAACATTTAAGTTTTGTACAGTTGTTATGAAAATCTAGTTATGTTTTTCCTGTGTCCTTATTTGTTGTTGTAGGTAGCACAGAACCAGCATATGCAGACTCGGCTGAGGAGCTCCCCATCGGATCAATGAAAGTGCCTATCCTCATTTTCCCCAAGCCTGGGGGAGTCCCACCTACTGGGATGGAGTGTCCCCCATTTCATGACATAAAAGGCTCTCATCGCATGTTGGGTTCACAGGCAGGTGGGAGAGCACGTTCGCTAGATGACTCCCCCAATGCCAAACAGCGCTTGGCCCTGAGGTTGATGGACAAGGAAGGGCAGAACTCAGATCCTGGCATGTCCCAGTCCCTTAACCTCCTCAGTCCTCATAGCAAAGGCAGCACAGACTCAGGCTACTTTTCCCCCTTTGACAGTGCCGAGCTGCAAATAGGCACTCCCAATACTAACGTCAAGACATATGAAGAGATTATGTTTGGTCGGACTTGGTACAACCGACCCAACTCCAGGTCGAGACAGTCAATCACGGTAAATTTAGTTGGGGCAGATCCCAATACCCTGGCAACCTTAAAGCAGGCAGGGACTCTTTCAGACATGGGGAAGATTGTGGAGGATCCTGTTTCCTTTACAAGAAACATTCCAATGTGTGGAGAAGCCAAGCAGTATCCAACTGGCCCCTGCCAAAGCAGTACAGGACTTTTGGAGCCACCATCAGATTCTGCGACTCTTATTAGGAGTAACTCCATGCCAACTCCATCTCCTCCTAACCTCAGTGCCCCTCCGGGGATTCGAGGCAGTGTCTCCTTTGATAACATGGTGGCACCGGACGATGTGTTTTACCCACCAGGTCACCCCAGACTCAGACGACAGGGTGCATTCGAACAGTCAGGCAATGATGCTCACATTGGAGAGGCCGAGGGTTACGGACACATGGCCAAAAATTTTGTCTCATCTCTGGGTATGAAGATCAGTGAGCGTAACCCGGGAGTCCCAGATAACATTGCTTATAACCCGTATGGTACGAAGGTCAGCATGTCAGAAATAGCCACGAGGAAAAGGCGGAAAGAGAAGAGTGTTGGGGATGATGAGGACAGTCCTGGGCACTGTGACAGTAGCTGCAGTGGCTCAGTTGAGATGATGGGGGACTACGAGTTTAAACAAGGTAGTTTTGATGGGTCAAGAGGCACACCAATAGGCAAAGGCTCTCTTCACAGTGCCCACAGTCAGTCTGACAGCTTTGATACATGTCCCAGCTGTGCTCTGAGGACATTGCGCTAGTTCCTGACTTGGAATGCAGGAAGGCAACTCGCGGTTCAGTTATCCAACATACTGGCATAGTGTCTCGTCCAAATTCCTTTGAGAAGTCAGAGTCATTGACAACAGGTTACCAGTCAGCAGATAAGGTCCCATCCAGTCAGTACTCAGAGCAGTCGGACAATGACATCTTTGAAGATGCTTTGAGTCCTGAATCTGCTCTTCTAAAGTCTGACAGCATGGATCAGCAAGCTTCCTGTGAGCTAGTTCCTCTTTCATCGTCATCAGCTGCAGCCTCACCTGGCCAACCATATCCCAACTCACAGAGACTGGTACGACAACCCAACATCCAAGTCCCTGAGATCAGGGTGACAGAGGAGCCAGACAAGCCAGAGAAGGACACCGAAGCTCTCACCTCTAAGGAGCCTGAGAGGCAGCAGCAGCATGTTGAGGAGTTCCAGCTGCCACAGAGGAGCGACACGCTGTCTCAGATGCCAACAGAAAAGCTGCCTCCCAAGAAGAAGAGGCTGCGTCTTGCAGACATGGAGCACTCGTCTGGAGAATCGAGCTTTGAGTCGACCTGCACCAGCCTTTCCCGAAGTCCCAGTCAAGAGAGTAACTTGTCCCACTCGTCCTCTCTCTCCATGTCCTTTGACAGAGATGAGGGTCCCAAGTCTGCCTCACAAACTAAACAGGTACCTACTTTGACTAAAAGTTGGCTTTGAGTCAGAAAACAACTCTTAGGTTTCATTGTGCCATCCATTCAATATGATGCACACACTCAGTGCCTGTGGGGGCCTGTGGTCAACTGGTGACACAGATATGACGTAGTGGTTCATCTGCATAGATATGCAGGAGATATTTCAGCACTGCATAAGCTCAGCTGTGGGGAGAATAAAGATATTGTATAAAAGTTGGTGGGGAATGAAGCCTTGTATAACACCGCATATATTTGTTTCATTAATAGACATAAGGAAGTCCCAGTTAATCAGGTAAGGTCTGAACCAGTGGCACACTGGTTCCGGATCTGATCCTGGACCTCTGGCTTGATTCCAAGTGTCACCAAACAAAGTCCAGAATATCCCTTAGGAGAAGTTCTTCATCTTGTCTCTGTGTTGCAGGATGATTCTATGACATCTGGTGGACCAAAGCAGTCAGAGTTTCTGACCGTCCCAGGTAGTGGCTATTCCAGCCACCATCAGCAGAGGGAGATGAGGAGATCTTCATCCGAGCAGGCGCCGTGCACGTTCCCCACAGAGTTACCGGAAATGCGTAGCAAATCTTTCGATTATGGAAACCTGCCTTCCTCAAGGCAAGGCGAGATTACACCAGCGCATCGGCGATGAAGGAACGGAGACGCGGCTATCTGGTTCGACAGGTAGAGTCAAACTTGCTTTTGAATTTTTCTTTGTTGGAATCCCAAACCAAATGACAACTGAACATCAAACCTTTGCTGTTTTACTGGTAACATTTAGGTCATGGGGGTCAAACTGTGCGACTCCTGCAACTGTCTGATGCGTCCCAGGTCCAATGCAGCTGAACTAAATGACTAATGACTTACCTCTTCATTCACTCACTTTCTATAAAGTCCTGTCAGTTAATTCAGGTGCCTGATCGGACCCAAGAGTTTGCAGCCCTCAGGGATTTATCAAAGTATCTAATATAACCTGTTTTAATTGTGAGCTGGTTTGCTTAAAGCCTTTTGCGCTTTTGACAGGCTTCGCTGAGTGTTTATCCAGAAACAGTCCTCCAGGAAGCAGTCGCACCTGACATTTCAATCAAGCAGGAGAGTTTGGAGCATGGGATATGGGCCAGCCCAACAGGTTCTCCACACAGCAGCATCGATCTGCCCAGCAGAACCAAGAGGCCTGCCAGCAGTACCGGGGGTGAGCCTTCAATCGGTGCCACATTACAAACTCAACTATTTTCCACTGATTAAACCTCGAACAAATCTCTGCCCAAAGTTTTGCTCTTGAATCAAAGTGCAGCAACGTCCATTTTGCTGGACTTGTTGTGTAACTTGGACCAATAGAAGCTCAGAAATCAAACCCATTTTTCTGTGTTGAATTTTAGAAACGGATCCAAAATGAAGAGTCTTCATCTGTTGATATTCCTGTCCACATAACAAACTTCAAGGTTTCATTAGGATGTTATCAGGTCCAGTACAAAGTAGTGACTAATGGTGAAGTGTCATATGCAGAAGTATCTGCCTCCTATATTCTGTTACCCCTAAATAATTCCAGTGCAACCAAGAGATTTCAAAGCTAATTAGTAGTCCAGCTTTATGTAATGTAGAGACATTCTCGCCGGTCTTGTTTGATCCGACTCTAGCCGGTTCTGTTGCTAATTGACCTCCGACCTCTGGTCCTCCGAACCTCAGTCTGGGTTCAGTTCAAGTGAACTCCTCGCTATTCTTCTCCTTGATTTAAAACGGTGACGTTGTGCTGACAGGGTTGGGATCCCACCAGCAGTACCACCAGCACAGCCTCCAGCAGAGCATCAGTGAGGACAGCCTGCAAGATGAACCCATCTATGGAAGGTGAGAATATCTACAGGATGGATTTTCCAGAATGATTTTCTTCATGCTTGTGGCACCTTGATGAATGAATGTCCATGTTTGGTCATGCAGGTCGCAGCAGCATCGCCTCCAGGCCCAGAGCTCCTCATCTGAAGGGGAACATCCGGGCCTGGAGGCGATGAGTAAGGATTTACCCCACCAGTACCAGAACGCCACCGCGCTCATCTCCATCCCCCAGCCGGGTCTGTTCTGGAGCCAGGAGTCCGAACAGAGGAACAGCAGACCCTCCAGGCCCAACAGCAACTCCTGAAGCTGCACATCCGATCCCAGGGCAGCCTGGCCGGACATCCGCAGACGTACGACGGAAAACCGGACGGCTCACAGATTTACTCCTCCTCCATCTCCGGGAGGAACCAGCAGAACCTGGGCCCGCTCTCCTCCAAACACTCGCTGCCTGGATCCACCGCCGCCCTGCTGCCGCCTCAGGTCCAGCCCGTGTTTGCCACTCAGAACCCTGGATCCCAGCTGCCCGGCTTGTTGGTTCCTGTCAGGATCCAAACCAACGTGCCGTCATTTGGTAGCGCGATGTACACCAGCGTTAGCCAGCTGATGGTTTCTTACGGCTGTGGAGTGCAGGCGCTGGATGGACAGCGGCAGGGCCCCCAATACGTCTCCTCCGCTTGTGAACATTGGAAAGCCAGTGGGAGGAGGGATGAGCGGAGCCGGATTCAACCTGTCCCTCCTCCTGGGGCAGGTTGACGTTGCCGGGTTACGGTTTCCGCCGCCGGAGCAACAGGTGAACACGGGCATCCCGCTGTCGCTAACGTCAGGAACCATATCCACTACCGACGCCTCGGCGTCCAACTTGGTGGCCAGCAAACGCATGCTCTCACCCACCAGCTCCCTGGAGCGCTTCTTTGAGACCAAGCAGCAGAAACGGGTGAAGGAGGAGCGGATGTACGGTCAGATAGTCAAAGAGATGGGAGCCGTGGAGCTGAGCGGAGCCGAGCGCACTTCCAAGAAACAAGGAAGAGGTTTGAAGACCGAGGAGTCCGTGGACGATTCTGAACGGATGTCTTCTTCTCCTCCAATCTGCGACTTCCCCGTCGCAGCCAAGATCGCCATTCCCGTCCGATCTCCAGCTCCTCACCTGTCCGACGTGCCGCGTGCGGAGAGCTTCACCCCGCCTCTCCAGATCGTCACGGATCGCTCGCCGGCTCCGGGTGGGCGGGACTCCCCGGAGGAGCTGGACGTGGACGAAGCGCCGCCGCCATGCGGCTCCAGCCCAGAGCCCATGCTCTCCTCTAACGACGCCGAAGACGCCACGAAGCGACCCGCAACGCCGAAGCTCTTTGGAGATGCTGCAGCCCAGCAGCTGTTGCAGTTCCCCAGCCTGCGCACCATGAGCCGCGTTAGCTGGTGCTTCCGGAGCTACACCAAACCCAACAGCACCCCGGCCGCCGCCCACAGCTCCGTCTACAGCTCCTGGTGCGTCAGCTCGTACAACCCCAACCCGCTGCACCTCAGCACCAAAGCCGCGCTGGCTCTGCTCCGGTCCAAACAGAGGACCAACACCGACCTCTTGTACACCGTCGCCGCCATGGCGCCGCCCAGCTCTGGGAAGCTGGTGTCGTCCGTGGCCTGGAAGCTGAGGTTTGATCAGGTACGTCCCGCGTCCTTCCTCCCGCCGCCGTGGAGACGAGCCAGCAGAAACCCACAGCTCTCACCTTTTCTCCGCAGCTGAAGCCGGAGCTGATGCCGGTGGACATCAGCCATTTTGGGAGGAAGATGAAGGGCGTGGCGTCATGGGACCGCTCAAAGGAAGAGCAGGTGGAGAAGGAAGTCTCCGTCAAGCAGCAGGCGGCCGAACCGACCCGCATCAAGATCTTCGAGGGCGGGTAAGTCTAGGAAACTCCAGACAAGATCCTCCTTAGTTTAAAACGGCTTTTAACAAGATTCTTCAGAAAATACAGAAAACAAAAGGAAACTACAGCATAGACAGTCTTCACCCACTTCAAAATAAAAGCATGAGTTAAACATGTAACTGCTTGATGTTTTGGTTCTGAACTGTGAAGGATTTGTAAATTAGTGCTTCGTTTAGCTAAACGCTACCAGAGGTAGCAAAGTGCTAAGCTAAGATATTAGCTCTAATATTAGCATGTTAGCATAAATGTGGAAATGCCTGAGAAGATAGCGGCGCTAAACCGCAGCAGTCTGCTGATTTCAGCCCAACTGAACCAATAACCTCCGTTTGAACCGCCAGCCGATCGGTTTCATCCTGATTAGAGACAAAGATGTGCTGAGGTGTAAAAACAGACGACTTCTCCTTCCCCGTCTGACTCTGAGCTTCGTTTGTGGCCAGAATGTGAGCCTGCTAAGCTCATCAGCAGCGTCAGTCAGACCGAACGTCAGCGCTCGTAACTCCTCTCCAGTTTCTGGTGACATGAAGTGGGATCTCTCCATCATTCGAGTTTTAACATCAGCAGCTGCAGCGTCTTTCCTGAGAGAAAAGCCTGTCAGTCCTCAGCATGATCCTCGTCTTTCTGTTGTTTGAGGAAATAAAGAAGGAAGCTGATAAAAACATTATAAAAACTTAAAGCAGGAAGATTTTTACAATTACTTTATACATCTTCATATTTTTCTATGTTCTAACAATATATTTATTCACTAAAAACTTTGTGGAATTCATTTATTTCATTCATTTTCCCTAATTTATTACATTTAGCAAAAAAAATAGGCTATAAATTAAGTATATATACTGTTATTAGTAGATCATTATTAAATATTTGATTATATAAGTAAACATTCCCATGAAATAAAAACGACAAAATAAAAGTTAATTTATTGAATGATATAATTATATTTCTTTGTTTCATTCATGATTCTTAACAAAGATAATAAAAACTGATTTTGTTTCAGGTTGAAATATAAAAAGAGAAACATGAAGGATGTTTAGCTACTAAAACACTTTCAGTCTGAAATACAAAAACATTTTTAATATTTAAACTCAGTGGAAAAAACCAACAGATTTTTCCTTTTTAAACATTTAAGCCCAGAATGTTTCTTTATGATTTACATGGTGACTATAGTTGCATAATTTTGATGTTATTTGTCCTGAAATGGATTTTCAGGGCTTTAGTTTGCGGCAGGAAAAGCTTGGTAATGTTTTACAGTGTTGATCCTGAAGTTGAACCGTCCCAGAGGAACCTGCAGACGCTGCTGCACCTGAACGTTTCAGCTGCTTTCAAAGCCAAGCAGCTTCATGATCTTCCAGGCTGCTGTGCATAAAACAGGATGAAATAATCCTCATAATTCATTTTCATAACCCACAGCTGTGTAAACGTCTCCGCTCAGACCGCCGTCCCGAGGTATTTCCCTGCAGACGCTTGATGTTCGATCGCTCTGACCCCGCCGCGACCTCCAGCTGCTGCAGACGGGACAGGAAGCGACGCCATGAGGCGGCCATTTTCACAGCTCTCTCTAAAAATCAACCTGAGCGACGCTCAATCTGAGATGATCTGAACATAAAGACGATATTCACTACATGCTAAAACAAAGGTGCACAAATCTGCAGCTTTTAGTCCATATAACTGAAAATGAAGCATAAACTCCTGATTTTACACTTAAACTTATCATGACACCATCTGCACACATGGACAATAAACGTTCCAGAATCTGTTCAAAATATTTAAAATTCATTTCAACTCGCTGAGCTCATCAGGATCATGATGTCCTGTTCTGTGGGTGCGCTCCATTCGCCACCGGCGTGGAACTGTTGCACCGGGTGGGCGGGGCTTCTGCACCGACACCGACCATCATGTGACTGATGGAGGAAAAAACTGCCATAAAAATGAAATCAATTCACACAAAATATGAATAATTATGGTATCAGTGTTTATAGTTAGTAATAATCAGTGGTGAGCTCACGTATGTTAAAGCGCTAACAGTTAGTGCTTCCATTTTTTTGCTAGCTTTGAAAACATTTCGCGCATTTAGCTTCCCTGAAATTCATTTTTAGCAATACAAAGTGCAGAGAACAGATTTCATCCTGTTGGGGGCGATATAACATCGGAGAGCATTATGCTTTGTTGAGGACCAACATGGTTGGATTAGCATGTTAGCATTAGCTTCCATGAACTACTGTTTGGTATACTGTATTAGCATTAGCCAAAGTGATGCTTGTGATTAGTTTTAACTTTTTAGCCAGTTAAAACCAAATGCAGCAATAATAATGAACATTGGTTTCGGTGGTTTTCCATGGCAACCAGTACTTCCTGAGGAGACTGCGGTCCTTTAACATCTGCAGCAAACTGCTGTGGATGTTCTACCAGTCTGTGATCGCCAGTGTCCTCTTCTACACCGTGGTGTGCTGGGGAGGAGCACATCCAAGAAGGACACGTCCAGACTGGACAAAACTGATCAGGCGTGCCGGCTCTGTGGTCGGCATGAAGTTGGATCTCTGGTGACGGTGGCAGAGGCGAGGACACTGAACAAACTGCTGCATCATGGACGATAGCAGCCACTCTCTACACGCCGTCATCAGCAGCCAGAGGAGCCTGTTCAGTGACAGACTGCTGCTTCCCAAGTGCCGGACCAATAGATTCAAGAACTCCTTTGTCCCCCACGCCTTCAGACTGTACAACTCCTCACTGGGGGGTCGGAGGTGACACAGGACAGAGGGAAGAAGGAGTAGTTTTTCTACAAATGTGAACTCCATATTTATCAGGCCAAACCATACAGTGCAATACCATATCACTGGTCAATCTATCCACCAAATTGCTATAATTTCCTTGTGTTGTATTTATATTCTTTGTTTTGTATTTATATTCTTATTATATTACTGTGTACCTTGTATTTAATTTGTATTTTTTTGTATTTTGTGTATGCTTACTGTGTGCCACATTTTTGCCTGTGAGCTGCTGGTAACTATAATTTCCTGAGGGAGTCTTCCCAAGGGATCAATAAAGTCAAGTCTAAGTCTCTAGTTTTAACTTTTTAGCCAGTTAAAACCAAATGCAGCAATAAATAATGAACATTGGTTTCGGTGGTTTCCAACCAGCAGAGGTAACTGAAACGCTAATCATCAATAATATCTCTGCTAACGCTAATCTGTTTAAAAAACGAGAGACCCGCAGGCCCCTACAGTTGATATGTGGATTTCACAAATCTCTGCTATTGTTTTAGTTGAAAAACTGACTCATGATCTTCATCAAAAGTCGGACAAATTCTGGAGGATCTGGAACCCACTGCAATCTTTCTTACAGAGTCTGTAATCTTTACTTATTTTATTAATTAATTATTTTTTTATTTCTTTACATTTACTATATCACTCACTTGGCCCGAGAGTTTTTGACTATTTTAATCTTTGCCTGGGAATGTCTGCCTGTACTTTGTGTATGTAGGCTGTATGTGTATTTTTTTGTTGTAGTTTATTTATTTTTTATTATTATTGTTATTATAATTTTTTTAGGTTAATTAATTATTTATTTTTTTTATTTTATGTTGACACTGCTGTGCTCCATGTTTGTTCGGGGTGGGTTGTTCTTGTTTACTTGTGTTGGTGTTTACATAGTTAAAAAAAACCAATAAACAAATTAAAAAAAAAAAAAAAAAAAAAACGAGAGACTGGGAAGACAGGAAATGGAGTCGCTGTTTAAACTGTCTTCAGCCCTTCACAATAAAAGCATGAATGTAAACGTGCGGCTCACCTGTCCGACGATGTTTCCTGCAGGTATAAATCCAACGAGGACTACGTGTACGTGCGCGGCCGCGGCCGCGGGAAGTACATCTGCGAGGAATGCGGCATCCGCTGCAAGAAGCCCAGCATGCTGAAGAAACACATCCGGACCCACACAGACGTCCGGCCGTACGTCTGCAAGTTCTGCAACTTCGCCTTCAAGACCAAAGGTTGGTCCGACCGCTCATCCAACCGCTCATCCAACATGAATCCAACCACACATCCAACCGCTCATCCAACCGCTCATCCAACCGCTCATCGACCGCTCATCCACCGCTCATCTCATCGCTCATCACACAACACCATGTAGGTTTCTCATCCACCTCTCCAACATGAATCCAGCCATTTGTAGGTTTCTCACGAAAGGCTAAAATTTTGATGATTGATTAATTCTGTCAAATTCCTGCGATAAACAATAATATTGTTTGAAGATCATTTTAAACTGATGTAATAATATAATAATCCAAACGATTTCCTGCCAAAAATAGATGCACTTTATTTTGAAAAGAACATTTAACGCTGGAACTGGTAAACTAAATAAACAAAACAACCAAAAACAAAAATAAAATAAACTTTGTCTGTTAAAAAATCCACAGGAATGAAACTAAACATTAAAGCAAAGTGGAAATAAATCAGCGTTCAGCCAACAGAGTGCAGGTTGTGAAGGCTGTTCACTGTGCGACTGATAGTTCACTCCTCCGTTACGCTCAGGAAATGAGGACGAGAGTCGAGTCTTTTTTCATCCAGTGTCATCAACAGGAAGAGAAAAAGGAAACGATGAAACCCATAAATTAAAAGGCGATGAATTGATTAATTGCTTATCGCTAACCATCCGTTTTCTCTTTAGAATGGTTTCTGGTAAGTTCAGTGATTTGACCCTGAACTCTTCCTGGTTTCCTGACGTGGAAAACGTCGCCAGGTGTTTTTTCCTTTTGCTCGCCGTTCGGTGAGCGACCGCGAGGCGTTTCTGTCGTCTTCATTCGGTTCAAATGAAAGTGGCTGATGGATTTTCAAAGCGCTCAGTGAACCGGACCGGGTTCAGACCGAGCTGCGTCATTTTCTTATCAGATTACGACGTGTGCCTTTCCTAAATTATAACTGCGGTCTCTTTCCACTGCAGCCCAGCTTCTCTGCTCTCTCAGCCAGAATAGCTCTGGTTTCCCGTAAGGCCAGTTGACGGAGTCGGTAATTTGGGATTACTGTCTGTGTTTTTCAGGAAATCTGACGAAGCACATGAAGTCCAAGGCTCACATGAAGAAGTGTTTGGAGTTGGGAGTCTCCATGTCGTCGGTGGAAGACGGCGAGGCCGACGACGGAGGTAGAAAATGTTCAGATCATCACAGAAACTACTTAGACGCCACGATGGCAAGAAAAGGAAAAAGGAGCAAGTTAATCGGATTCCTCATTAAATATTAAGAAACAATACATTTCATCAGCCGTCCCTCCCGGCGCTGACGGTTTCCGAACAGATGAGCGGCGTTCGCTCCTCCGTTAATCTTCCTTGACTTGATAATGAAACTGGAAATTAGTCTGATTATTTTTACATCCTGTTCAGTTTTTACAGTAACAGCAGAAGTATCAAACTTTTCCTCATTAGAAGAAGAAATGCTTTTTAAAAGACGGCAGAAAAACCCAAATGGGGTAAAACAGGAAAAACATGAAAGCTGGATTATTATAGAACATTTATAAATACATGGTGTGATTTGTCTTTACTCTGTTACCCAAAATAAATAAACCGATGATTAAACCGGGTTGGAGTCTATCCAGGGAAGAAATGATCTGGATTGGAGTTAGCATGCTAGCATTAGCTTATGCTGGCCTGGACTGGTACAGTTGGGTCGGAAATGTGGGAACTGAATTTTGGTGACTCCAAAAATTCACAGAAAAACAGCAGATCCTCATTTTTTCACACTAATGCATAAATTTCTAAATATTATGTTCCCACAGAAACGTTGGCTATAAGTGACTGCTGACCCCCCTGTAGGTGGCAGTGTCTCTAACTTGCTGCCTCAGCCTGATCAATATGGGGAGTAACAGAAGTGCTGCTAATGTTTCTATGGTTGAACCTCAGAATGACAGATTCTGAATCTGAAATCCTGGAGTGGGCGTTAAAAAGCAGACGGTTTCTCTGGCAGGTGTTTGTTCAGGTCGGCGCCGCGCAGCGAGCCGTTTCTGCCGTCTTTAATCAGCGTGGGACTGGTAGCTCGTTGTAATTTCCCACCATGCAGACCACCAAATGAAATTTTATTCCAGGTGACCCCTGCTGTGTGTGTTGGCTCGCCGTTTAATTGGGACGTGTTCCCACACACACACAGTGGGTTTTTGGGAAAGGGCGAGTTGCAGACGTCCACGGCGTGAGTCACAGGGTTGTGTTTCTGTCCGATCCAGAGCGTTGCGTCGTTCAGAAAGCGAACTCCGGGGTCACTGTTTTCCAGGTCATCCAGGTTCAGCCGCTCCGCTGGCTTTGTTCAGCTTCGCCGTTGTTTGGCTGGAATCCGTCTGCTGGAAACCAAAGTGTTGAGAGATTCTTCTGACTCCAACAGCTTTTATAGTTTTGAGTTTTATTGCTTTAAAGCTGTGGGAATGAGCCTCAGAGGTGTTTTATGTAACAAACTTTCAGCACATTTAAATACAAACATTTGTTTTCATTCCTCCCTCGTTTTCCTTCTGCTTCCATGTCTTCACATTGAAGAACTCGGAGAGGAAGGTCAGAGGTCGTCAGAGAAGCTGTCCAGAGGCACGGTGGCCGAGCATCAGTTCTCCGACGCCGACGAGTCGGACGGCGGCGAGGACGACGGAGACGAGGTGGACGATGAAGACGAGGACGAGGAGGACTACGACGGCGACTCCACGCCGAAGACGCGTTCGCGCTCCACCAGCCCGCAGCCGTACGCCCTGCCGTCGATGTCCATCACGGCCGTGGCCGCCGCCCACGTCGCCCCGCAGCTTCCCCGGCAGGGGGCGCCGGACCTCCTGGGCCCCCCCAGCAGGCCGCCTCTGTTCGGGTACTTCACCACCGTGCCGAGCATCCAGATCACGCCGCAGGCTCCGCCCCCAGAGCGCGCCCCGGCGGAGCATCATGGAGGCGCGGAGCGGAGCCGACTGCTGGCTCCGCCCTCCTCCTCCATGGACGCAGACGTCCCCGTCCCCTCTCCGGACCTCTCCCCGCCCGGCCGGGACCTCTCCGGCTGCCCGTCCCCCGGCTCCCCGTCCTCGTCCCCCTCCACCTGCCATTACCTGTCCCCCCGCCGCGACCTCTCCCCCCACGCCGCACCTGTCCCCTCGGCGGGACGTCTCCCCGCTGCGCCACATCTCCCCCAAGAGGGACCTGGGGGTGGGAGGGTACCGGCGGGACCTGTCCCCGCGGCGGGGCCACCTCTCGGTGCTGTCCCCTCTGTCACGGCCGGCTCTCCAGGAGGAAGGGACTACAAGAGGGACCTTTCACCGCGAGGGCGCCACCGGGGCATGATCCGGCCGCTGTCCCCCCGCCGCGGCGTCTACCATCAGAGGTGGCGCCTGCAGCTGTTTCTGCTGCTGCAGCAGCTGTTTCTGCTGCTGCAGCAGCTGTTTCTGCTGCTGCAGCTGTTTCTGCTGCTGCTGTTCTGCTGCTGCAGCTGTTTCTGGCAGCTGTTTCTGCTGCTGCAGCTGTTTCTGCTGCTGCAGCTGTTTCTGCTGCTGCAGCTGTTTCTGCTGCTGCAGCTGTTTCTGCTGCAGCATCTATGACAAGTTCAGACCAGCTGAGGTTTCTTGATCAAGTCTTTATTTGATGAAACTTTAGCTTTAATAACAGAAAGATACATAATGTTTAAAGTTTAATCAGTAATACTTTTATAACAAATTTATGTCAGACCATAATTTATTCATAATGAAGACATTGTGAAAAATATCAACTTTGCATTATAAACGTAATAATCTACGGAATGTCACTTTATGAGTCGTGAATATTCATAAAGTCTTAATCATCTTATTCACAACCCGTCATAGAAAAGGAAGCCAAGATGGCTCCCAAACAAACGTCCTCAAGTTGTCTGGAAATTAAAGGGACATAAAAGAACAGAAAACTTTACTGATGAACATGGTGACCTCTGACCTGTGGAAACGTTTAGATGGAATCAATCTGACCTTAAAGCCAAAAGTCGGGTGTTGATTGGTTCTGGTTGACGTCGCCCAGCCAGATCCAAACCTTTGTCCTGCAGGAACGGTTTTTTATTCCTGGTTCAAGTCGAAAGGCTTCTGTTGGTCGCCCAGTCTGCATTATTGATTTCGATTGATTTTATTCCGGCTGGTTGAGTCATGAACCTCCTTCAAGTGGCTGACCGTGTTTCTGGTTCCGTCCTCACAGCGGGGCCCGGAGCCCAAGGGCCAATCATCAGATGGCGGTGGCGGCTCAGGGAGATTTCCCTGTGGGGCGGCGCAGCAGCACTGCAGAGATGGAAAAGGTAATGATGAGATTTTAATGTTTTAGTTTTAATGCGCTGATTGTAAAGTTTGAGAAACGTTGGACATGTTTGGACTTCTTAGCGTTGAATCATTTGAACTTATTTTCTTTAGACACAACAAACCATCTCCAGTTTCCAGCAGATTATTTACGGTGAAAGGCTGAGATGGTCACTCAGCGGATGAATTTCCAGATCTTCTTTGGGTCATGACCCAGATGAACCCTAACTCTCTATCCTTCCTGTTTCTTGACGTTCTTCTCTTAGCAAGGAACTGATCTGAACTCTGAACCTCTGTGTTCGATGACCATCCAGTTTGAAACGTTTCGTCAACATTTTGTTTCTCTAGAGGAAATAAATCCTCCTTGCTGCCGCTGGGAGCTTTTACCTTTTGGTATTTGGGTTTTTCTCAGCAGATTTTTCTCTTGTTGCTTTTACTTCGAAGTGACAGAAAAGAGTCCAGATGATTTTTCCCGTCAGGATTTCTGGTGGCTTGGAAAAGTTTTCCTTCTTGGTTGCATTGCAGTCACTGATGTCTGTATATTTACTGGTTGCACTTCATTGAGAAATAGAAGGAATTATAACATTTAAAAACATTTTTATACAGATAAACTCTGGGTTTTCTCCTTCCACGTCTCCTTTTCTACACTCTGGAAGCTGCATCAGTGGAGCGAGTTGTTGGTTCAGTCGTGATGCGTTCAGTGACTATAGGAACCTGAAGCTTAAGACTTTAAACCTAAAGGCTTAAACCTTAAAGGATCCAATCCTGAGCTGAAGTTTCTTGACTGCGGCGTGTGAATGAAGTGCGAAGGACAAAGAGCAGCGAGAGGAACGAAGACGAAACCATCTGGCGGCGGAAACATTGAGAGACGGTGAGGGAATGAAGTCAGACGGAGTTGCAGAGCGGAGGATGATGGGAGACGGAGCGGCTGCCTGGTAACGGGATCCTGCCGGCTGTGATGTGGTTAACAAGGCGGCTGGTTTTCCTCTTAAGGGTTTCACTTCAGACGCGCTGCTGCTGCTGCCGCCGGAGCGTTTGAACCAAGCGTGGAGCAGAGAGTCTGACGGCCTGCAGACAGATTCGTGTTTCGGCCAAACGCCGCGGCTCTGCCGTAGCGTCTTTATCTGTCCGTCCGGAGGAAACGCTCAGGGCTGAAGGTTGTTTGTCTGGTTTCAGGATCTCCGACCCGGTTCTTCGTCACCATCTGAGCGGAATCCCGGTTCTGCCCGGTGCTTCCAGTCCGGCCCGCCTCACCAGGTTCTGTTCAGCCATCTTCCAACCCATTCACAACTCCAGGTATTCCCCCTTCCTCTGGACTTGCTAATTCCTCCATGCAATTGGCCCTTTCAAAATAAAGTAGATGAACATTCCCAAAGTAAAATCCTCAATATTTATAGATTTCTTTTGCAAACAAGATTTCACATAATTGGATCTAAATCAACCAGGAAACAGTGAACAATGATGGTTTTCAAAATAAAAGTAGGTTCCACATGAGTAACAGGAAGTAAAACTGAATGAATCACTTTCAAAATAAAGCATAAAAGATCATTTTTGGTGTATAATAATTTAAACTATGGATTAGTTAAAATTATTATTATTTTAAAAGTTGTTTGTTCATTAGAGAATTTAGAGAGAGGGGATGAGGGCATAGTTAGCCCTTCAAAATAAAGCTCATGCATTATTTTCAAAATAAACTCTGCACTTTGCATTGGATAGATTTTTGCACAAATTTCATGTTCGCTGCGCTCTCGCCTCGCTCTCGCCGCGCTCTCGCCGCGCTCTCGCCTCGCTGCGCTCTCGCTCTCGCCGCGCTCTCGCCTCGCTGCGCTCTCGCCTCGCTCTCGCCGCGCTCTCGCCTCGCCGCGCTCTCGCCTCGCCGCGCTCTCGCTCTCGCCGCGCTCTCGCCTCGCTGCGCTCTCGCCTCGCTCTCGCCGCGCTCTCGCCTCGCCGCGCTCTCGCCTCGCCGCGCTCTCGCCTCGCCGCGCTCTCGCTCTCGCCTCGCCGCGCTCTCGCCTCGCTCTCGCCTCGCCGCGCTCTCGCCTCGCCGCGCTCGCCTCGCCGCGCTCTCGCTCTCGCCGCGCTCTCGCCTCGCCTCGCTCTCGCCTCGCCGCGCTCGCCTCGCGCGCGCGCTCGCCTCGCTCGCCTCGCTCTCGCCTCGCCGCGCTCTCGCCTCGCCGCGCTCTCGCTCTCGCCGCGCTCTCGCTCTCGCCGCGCTCTCGCCTCGCCGCGCTCTCGCCGCGCTCTCGCTCTCGCCGCGCTCTCGCCTCGCCTCGCTCTCGCCTCGCCGCGCTCTCGCCTCGCCGCGCTCTCGCTCTCGCCGCGCTCTCGCTCTCGCCGCGCTCTCGCTCTCGCCGCGCTCTCGCTCTCGCCGCGCTCTCGCTCTCGCCGCGCTCTCGCCTCGCTCTCGCCTCGCCACGCTCTCGCTCTCGCCGCGCTCTCGCCTCGCCGCGCTCTCGCCTCGCCTCCACACGGATCGTAAATGTAAACCAGATGCTCAATGAAAAGCAAAATGAAGCGTCGGCGTTCAAACCCAAACCTTCGGACTCGTTTGTTGTGAACAAACCAAAATATATCTAATCCAGGCAGGAAGCAGTGAGTTTTCAAATAAAGCGCTCAATAACTTTTCAAAATAAGTTTTGCATTGTATTGGTCCGGTTTTTCCAAAGATCTTCCCGAACTGGTTTTGACCTTTCACCTCGTTTCAACACTCCAGTAATGTTTGAAGTTTCGTTTCTTCCTCAGGTGCGTTCGCCGTTCCCGATGATTCCCATCGGAGGAATCCAGATGGTCCACTCCGTCCCGACGTCCGCCACCACGCCGCTGGGCCAGCAGGGGGCGCCGGCCGCCGTCGAGAGGGGCCGGCGGGGAGGGGAGAGGCTGGAGGGGGGCGGAGTCAGACCGGAGCAGGAAGAGAGCATCCACACCTGCACCAAGGCCATCGCCTCGCTCTGCCTCGACCCGCAGTGTGTGGAAGGAGGAAGAGCGGCTTCGGCCGCCTCGGCGTCGGGTCCTGACTCCCATCAGCAGCAGCGGCAGCGCTGCTCCTCCCCGCCTCCGCCCGACATTCAGCACTTTAGCGGCCTTGAGCTCCGGCCTTCCTCCTCTTCCTCGCCCGCTCCTCTTCCTCCCAGCCCGGCGCCCGACTCCCGGGGGGCGATGGAGGAGAAGGAGGCGGAGAAGAAGGACGCATCCTGAAACCGAGGAGGCGGAGCTTTGGTTTCTGGAAACAGGAAGTGCAGGAGCGGAGAGAGGAAGTGGAACTTTTGCACACTTTGTTCAGCGGAGCGCTTCCTCCTGGGGTCAAAGGTCTACCTGCTTGGACGTTTAGAGACGCTGCGGCGCGTAACCCGGCCTGGAGCCCGACTTCCTGGTGCCTTTCCTTCAGCGCCTCGGGTTCTGGATGCAGGAAGGTAAATGTAAATATGACGATATCTCCTCTTCTTTTGCATATCAGCTTTGTAAGAAATGCAACCTCCTCCTTTTTCCTTCTTTTAATTTTTCGGACACCTTAATAAACGTTGATGTGAAGTTATGGATATTACCATTACGTACGGTTGCACTAAACATATTTTTATATGAGTGAAAAAAAATGCTTTTTTGTGTACAGCAGTGATTCTATAATACTATTTATTGTTATCATGTTTCATAAATTGTACATTTTTTCTTAAATGTCGTGGATGCCTTTTCTATGTACAGCATGGGGTTTTGCTGACATGAGGCGAGGATGTGAACACTGTACTACAGCTTTCTATGTATTTATACGGTCAGAGTCTGAAGATGTACTCCAATATTACCCTGCATATGAATGCATACAGTATATGGAACCACACGACTATATCTGCACTTAGCATTTAAACTCTCATTGTTGTAGTTTGCTTGTACATTTTGCTGCTTTTTGCCTGACGCTGCTTGATTTCTTTCAGTTTTTAGTTGAACTTTGAAGTGGAGCTGCACGACGGCAGAGCGACACGCAGGAGCAACGTTATTATTCTGTTACATATTTTCATCAGTTTTGTGGCTGAAATCCGTTAAGTTTTGCATCAAACGTGCAGAATTTGAAAATATGCTTAATAACTATCCATAATTCATAACAGTTGGAAACAAGGATTTCAAAATAAAGTTTCTGTCCAGCGACTGCAGAAGCTCACATTAAAATTAATGTTTGTGAGTTTATTGCAAAAATACAAACATTGAGTTTAAGTGATGCCAACTCCCACCTGCAGGTGGCAGCGTTTCTTCTTCTGCTCGGCTTGTTGGATTAAAGTTCATCAAGTTAGTGTGGGAAGTAGCAAACACTCGTCTTTACAGTCATACATATTTATGTTTCTCACACTAGAGTGAAATAAATGATCACAAAACTCCTTGCAGATGTTTATAAAGAATCAAAAATCAGTTCTTATTGCAAAAAATCCCCAAATCAATCCTGGATCTGGTTTACAGGCACTTTATATCAGATCAGTTCATGTTGGAGAGAAAAACACTTTGTTGATCCTGTGGGTGCAGAAAGTGTTGACAAAAAGCTGAAGTCGTGTTTCATGTTTTCGTATCGTGCAGCTCTGGTTCGAAGCTTTTATTTTGGTGAAGCACGGATTTGCTCGGCGCATGAACTGAATGACGTTAGTGTGATGCGCTCCTCCCTCAGCAGCTGTTGGCGTCCAAACAGGAAACAACCAAACATTCCAGTCACAAAAACGCCGGGACTTCTGCAGCAGCAACGCCTCCTTCCAACTTCAACCTGCAGCCGTTCTGAAGATGCACCTTATTTTTTCCTCCTGATCCGTTTGTTTGTTTCTTCATGACTCTGAAAACCTTCAGCAGTAATAATCCTGCTCTGCTCCGCTGCACATCCTCTTTTCAAGCAATATTTGCCAAACTCTGCTTCACCAGCAGGGAGTGAATTTGTTGCAAGGCAACAATGGTGTACTTACAAAATCCTAGAATCAGGAGAAGAAGGGAGCAGTTGTGTTTAGAGGCGCAAGTTTTTTAGAGTTCTGGACCGTTTGGGCCGAGTCGGGCAGGCTGCAATGTGAGTGTCTGTATTCTGTATCAGTGTGTATTCAACCAGTATATCCTCTTCGTACAACTTTTTTCTATTTTGATTCTCCCTCATGTATCATGACAACAATGATGTCTCCTTCTCTTATCAAAGCACAAGTCATTGCATACGGATGACAACTATACAGAAAAAGGATATAAAAAGGTAAACGTGCATTTAGAGGGTGTCTCTTGTGACGGTGTTCTGGAATTAATACGACTATCATGTATGATCCAAGGTGCAACAAAGAGTCGCAGTAGAAGTGAAAGAAATGCGTTCTTGTTTCCAAATAAATATAAAGAAACAGCTGCTGGTGTCTGTTTATTTCTGGTTGAGACGTTTCCTTCCACTTCACTGCTTTTTATGTTTAAAGCTCATTTATCCAACAGTTAAGAGTCAGAAAGCAGAGGAGACATTTCTGAAGCTGCTGGGTCAAAAATCAACTGCCGTAATTTGGGTCATTTAAATCGTTATAGACACAATATTGAGCTAGCTCCAAAAGCTTGCTAACTAAACATTTAGCCTGGACTTCAACCCTTAGGATAGTTTATGGGAAACTTTTGTGTTTAGACCTTAAAAATGGATTTAGAAAATTACAGCAATGTCTGGAAAGTTGAGGGTGGATTATTCCCACCGGGCCTGTTGAGTCCACTCTCATCCAGTCTGGTTGTCCAGCTGCTCTGGTTGGCAGCTGCAAGCGCTAACTGACCTCTGACCTCTGGTACTCCAACCACGGTCTGGGTTCAGTTCAAGTGAACTCTGGTTCCGTTTGAATGTGAACGCCAAGCCGACCGGAGACCGCTCCAAAACAGGAAGGGCTACAGCGCAGGGCATTCTGGGTAAATACAAAAAGGCAAACGTGTTAGCCTAGCGTTAGCAGGAGAAATGGCTTGTGATCTTTCGCCAAAGTCTAAAGAGAAATCCTCCAACCACTAAAATCTTTAGTTTTCATTTGATAAAGAGGTTTCGTTTTGTTTTCTCAAGTGGGTGTTAGTGCAGCGCCCCCACAGGCCAGGAGGGGAACAAGTTGCTCAGAGGGTTCAGTTAGTTTAACCACAGCAGCTGAAAATGTAACAAATGTTGGAGTTTCAGGTTTTTCTCCAAAGGTTCATTGTTCTTTCTCTAAGAAACAGATGGAAATGATGAAAGTATTAAATTTACAGGTGCTAGAAATGCATCATGACAGATCTTTTCCTGCTTTGGGAATATTCTTAGGATTTTATGGAGTGCTGCGGGCGGCGAGCGTGTTAATCATCCTGTAGATTAATCCCCCAGGAGCCTGAAGAGTCGCCTGGATCAGGATTGGGTAAAATCTCTTTGCAGGCTCCAACAATGGAAGTCACATTCACGGCACACAGACGCGTTCAGCTCCCAGGGGAGCTTTCCATATGCTCGCTGCGCTCACACCTTCCAAACTCCCGATGAAAGCCATTCCTCGGATCGTTAATCAGGACCAAAAATAACTCCCTTGATCAGGTGGCATCAAAGGCGGCGGGACTCTCCGACACGCGGACAGACTGACACATGAAAAAGAAACTGACACCAACCCAGATGTGTCAACAATAAAGGGAGAAAACATGCAGACAGGTAGACATATGTGGGACATGACTGATGACAAGGTGGCGCGTTTAAAATTAGAAACATGAGGTGAAGCCCAAAATAACAAAGAATCTCCAGGTTTGTGCGACAGACATAACTGACCTGCTTTAATGAGCTGCTTTACAACCAGGACAGAAATACCAGCAAAGGGAAAAATCTGTTTGCCACAAATTAATTTCATTTAGAACATCAACAAACTAAAGCCAAACACTTTTACAGAACTTACTGTTTCCATCTCCCATTAACTCTTTAACCAAAACCCACCATCAACCTTTTCTAAAGTGACACTTTAAAGAATTGATTGATAGAAACAAAGCTACACTAACTATGTTTATCCAACTGTCATCCAAACTTTGAGCAAACTTTTAAAATGTCACAAAAAGAAAATATGAACGAGGCGAATCGATGTGCTGGTTTGGAGTGAATCAACCAGGCTCCGTCAGATGGTGGCGCTAGTTTGTAATGAACAGGAAGTGGAGATCACAATCCAGCATGGACTGCACATCCCAGAAGAGACTCCTTTGGACACCAAAGCTTTCTGTGAATTAAAGCCTCATCAGGGGAACATTAAAACCTTTATGCAAAATTTAAGAAGTTACACAATTTGATAATTGTAATTAAATAAGAAGTGCAATTAAAATCACGTAAATAAGTTTGTTCACATAATAAGTTGTTAAAAATCATCCTCTTCCTTCTGCTTCCTGTTGTCTTCTTCTTCGTGGTTTGCGCCAGTGATGGCGTCCGGTTGTTGGTCATGTGACTCGTCAAAAAGTTTTTCTGCTGCAGTTTTGTGAAATAGAGTAATTTTGATCCTGATGGTGAAATAAAACAGGAAAGTGAAAGTCAAGAGGATCTGGAACCGGTCTCAGCAGCAGAGACAGAGGATGAGCGCCACTCATATCCAGGCCTCATAATTCCCCAAAATCAAAATAAGCTGGAAAAGCATCAGGGCCCTTCAGGTCTTCACTGTATAATTTTGCATTCCTCGTTCCACACATGGACCATTATGATTTATTACAACGAGCTTAGCGGGCAGTAATTACGCAGAGAAAGTGGCCAAGCATGTGATTTAACAACTGGAACTGATTCTGCAGAGTCACGCCATCGCTGTCGGAACCGCAGGCCGCGGCGCAGCTAACGGGCCGGACCGGGACTTCTCCCTGGGAAAGCTCTCCGCTCCGTGTGGCCCGACGGCGAGTTTTTATGTCAGGATGGTTAGCAGCAAACAGTCTGGCGGGACGAGTCATGTGTGTGTGTGTGTGTGTGTGTGTGTGTGTGTGTGTGTGTGTGTGTGTGTGTGTGTCTGTATCAGGTTTTCATATCTTTACAGGAACCTAATTCTGTCTAGAATGTGGGGTTCTGGGACCATGGTTCCTTGTGGGGACATTTTCTTGGTCCCCCTGAGAGATATTGTTGTTTTTGGGTTAGTGGTTCGGGCTGTGATGGTTAGGGTAAAGGTTCAGGTTAGGGTAAAGGTTAGGGTTAGGGTAAAGGTTCAGGTTAGGGTAAAGGTCAGATTAGGGTAAAGGTTCAGATTAGGGTAAAGGTCAGGGTTAGGGTAAAGGTTCAGGTTAGGGTGAAGGTTAAGATTAGGGTAAAGGTTCAGGTTAGGGTAAAGGTTAGGGTTAGGGTAAAGGTTCAGATTAGGGTAAAGGTTTAGGTTAGGGTAAAGGTTCAGATTAGGGTAAAGGTTCAGGTTAGGGTAAAGTTCAGGTTAGGGTAAAGGTTAGGGTTAGGGTAAAGGTTAGAGTTAGGGTAAAGGTTCAGATTAGGGTAAAGGTTAGGGTTAGGGTTAGGCCGTAGAAATGAATGGAAGTTAATGTGAAGTCCCCACAAGTGATGAAAACACGACTCTGTGTGTGATGCTTGTTGAGCGGCCATTCTCCAGCTGTAATTAACTCCAAAGATAAAGCAGTTTTCCTCTGCTCCTCTTCTTCTTCCAGATTATTCTTATTTACCTCTGTGGCTCTAACAAAGTTCAGAGCAGTGAAAAGTATTGCAGCCTTAAAGATTCATTCAGTTAGTTTGTTTGACTCACTGAAATGCTTCTTCTGCTAATTTGCTCATAGTGGAGCTAATGTTTAGCTTAGTGCTTTGGCAGGTTTGCACACACTTAGCTCACTTAGCCTCAATTAATTTCCCAATAAATTCTAAAACACTAATTTACTGCTTTTAGCAGTAATTAAAGTCAAGCTTAGGAGTTTTACTAACTTTGAAAACTTTTTGCTTCCCCTAAATTAGTATTTCTGAATAAATGATAAGGATTGTCTCTTGGCTGATAGCACACTTCCACTAATCTCCAAAAAGTGGAGCTAATTTTTCATTTACTGCTTTAGCATTTTTGCTAACTTTGAAAATATTTAGTGCTCTCAGCTTCTTCTAATTTATTCAATGTATTTATTGGTATTAACAAAGTATCAAGATTACAGGACAGTTATCAAAATACAATGATATCCGGATCGTTGAACAAACTCCAACAGCCAATTGATGTCGGTTGACGGCGTCTTCTAATCTAAACTGAAGATCTAATTTACTTGGCTGCAGCATTCTTGCGTTTATCCTCTGGCAAAGGTAATTAAATGTTTGCGCTTCAACTTTGCGCTTTTCTAACTTTGAAAACATTTAGCTCACTTGTCGGCATTTTGGCGGCTGAGGTCAGAGGAGTCAGTTGATAAGTGAAGCATCTTGATTTCAGGCAAATTTTAAAATCACTGTTTAGCTGCACTTTTCGTTTAGGTGAACTTCAGTTCTGATTGATTCATTTCAAGCTGAATTAGCTGAGAAACTTTGTTTCCTCCTCTCACATGTTCAGTGCGTTGGCCTTCACCATGCCCACATTACATCCGAGTGTGAGGAACGAGCCTTTCTGATTCAAGCTTAGTCACTCAGAGCGGATATGGAGAGACGAGCGATAAGCGGTTTTGAAACTGAAGTGAGTCACAGAAAGGCCAAGGCTGCAGAGTGGAGGAAAACTGGAGTTTCTGCTGCTTTTTAGACGAGAGAAATTAGTTCAGTCTGAGGCCAGACGCATCACAATATGCAATCAATCAATCAATCAATCAATCCCATGATGAATTAAAATGAACTCACTCATTTCCATTGTTTTCTCGTTCTCCCAAAAACTGGATGATAGAAATGTCCAGTCTTGTTTCAACTTTCTTTGAAAGACAATTTTGTTTACAAACTTTTTTCATTTTATTTATAATTTTATTTAATTTGGATATTAAAATGTCTTCCAGTTCCAGTGCTAAATGTTTCTTAGAAATTAAAATTGATCTTTGAGGCTAAATTCTTACATTATTATATCATTATATTAGCTGGAAATGATCTGGAGACACAGTATTATTGTTTATCGCGATATTCTGGTGACCGGCCTCTTCAACGACGCGACGTTCAGAAATCTCTGCAAACTGCTAGTTTTCTGCGTTTCATGGCGGAGCTGCTTCTTTATGCGACAGCGTGTCCCCATGACACCAGCAGCAGGTTTCTGAAATATGACTCAATTAAACCAGCAGGTGTTTTCAATGCAGACCGACCCGGAACCGACCCGGAACCGGCCCAGAGCCGACCCGGAACCCGCCAACTATTCTGGGTCGGCTCAATTCATCCTCCGGATCCACACAGGGAGGACAGGTTGGCAGAACACACACACACCCTACTTGTGTGTGTGTGTGTGTGTGTGTGTGTGTGTGTGTGTGTCTGTGTGT